TTATTTCTTTGCTTTATAACCAGGAGTAGAAAAAAATATTTTGAAAGAAATTATGAATTCTCACTATATAATCAATAGAGTCCCCCCTCCTTCACCAGAACCCCTGACCCAGGGGCCATGAAATTCACAATTTGGAAAAGGCAGCCATGCTCATCATAACAATATACTTAGTTAGTTAATTTCATACCCATGAGCAGAGAAGAAGATTTTCCAAGATATAATGCATTTTCACTATATAATCAATAGGGCCCGCCCTAGCTAACACTAGAACCCCTGCCCCAAGGGCCATGAAATTCACAATTTTGTAAGAGGCGCTCTTGCTCATCATAACTATGTACTTAGTTAGTTTATTTAATACCCAGGAGCAGAGAAGAAGATTTTCGAAGAATTAATGCATTTTCACTATATAATCAATAAAGCCCCGCCCTAACACTAGAACCCCTGATCCAGGGGCCATGAAATTCACAATTTTGGAAGAGGCAGTCTTGCTCTACATAACTATGTATTTAGTTAGTTTATCTAATACCCAGGAGCAGAGAAGAAGATTTTCAAAGAAATAAAGCACTTTCACTATATGAACTAAATAGCCTCGCCCTAGCACCAGAACCCCTGACCCAGGGGTCATGAATTTCACATTTTGGTAGAGGGCTTAATGCTTATTACAGTGATGCCAACAGTTTGACTACTTGGTGTCCAGGAGTAAAGAAGAAGATTTTTAAAGATTGCATTAACTTTTGTGGTTTTAGCCCCACCCCTCAGGCCCTAGGGGGGGGGCAGGGACCATGAAATTCACAATTTTTGTCCCCCTTTACCCATAAATGCTATACATGTATGCCAAAATTGGTTGAAATTGGTTGAGCGGTTTCAGAGAAGAAGCTGAAAATGTTTAAATGTTAACGCACGACGCATGACGACGGACAAAAACGGATAGCAATAGGTCACCTGAGTGACTCAGGTGACCTAATAAAAACGGAAGTCGGAAATGTTGGTATCTTCTGATTGGTCATCAACAAAATTACTAAACTTAGAACCCTGAAGTTGATATCAAATGGATGCTGGAGTTCCGCATTGAAAACATTTATTTAATCTTTGGAGACCAGGCCAGGCCTTCCAGCAAACTTGGAATTTAAATGGTCAGTAGTTGTGCGCCTTTAATTTATTAATTAAAAAACTTCTACATGGGAAGAGGCTGCTTTCAACTATATATTTAGGTATATCGACGACGTATTATCAATTAACAATACTTTCTTCCATTCATATGTCGACTTGGTATATCCCAGTGGACTTGAAATAAAAGACACCAAGAAGTCTGACGCATCTATTTCATATGTGGATGTTTTACTGACTATAGACTTAAAGGTCCAACTAACAACAAAATTGTATGACAAACGAGATGAATTCACCTTTTCCATCGTCAACTTTCCCTATTTATGTAGAAATATCCCGCTATCACCTGCATATGGTTTTTTGTCTCCAAACCTTTGACACTCAAGAGCATGCTCCGGGAGCGATTAAGTATGAAACCGAGGCAAACTACTACCAAATAAGTTGATGTTACAGGGATTTCAACAATCTCGTTTAAAGTAAGCATGTCTTAAATTCTATGGTCCTTATAGTGACATTGTTAACAAATGTAACCTATCATTGGTCGTATTTTGACTGGCGCGTTCTTAATAAGTATTAGGCCTTTGTTTTTATACCAAATTTGACAACACAATGTTCCGTCTACCTGATCGATACATAGGACTAACGGTAGGTGTGACCGGTCAACGGGTCACAGTTACCACTCCTATCACATGATTCCACATCTGGAATTTCCAGGCTTTGTTTTATGCCATCTTCACATATTTGTATTGTTTAAAAATTTATATTGAGATCGATCACTGTTCGTTATCTTCATCTTTTTCGCTATACAGTATCACACAAACTGAAATTAAAAATATCTGTAAAAATACATCGAGATCGGTATAGCAAAAGGATCGATGTAGACGGGCTACTGCAGTGAAAATAGAGGAAAATTAACTACTTAAAAAAGAAATCATAATTTTTATTCCGTAATTCATTTTAACTTTAAGGCATGGGTACCGTATTATATTTTTGATTGTCAAATTTTATATGATAAATATTATTATATCAGATTAGATTTCTGTTTTCTTCTTTCTTTTGCAGGCAAATGCATTAACTAGCGAAGTAATGATAGACCACCCTTAGAGTTATTTAAATCTTTAATGATGCTATAAATCATGGGATATATGTTCTCCATGAGGGTTGTTCGAAACGTTTGCGGACGATTTCCATTTTGTTACATTATATTCCAGAAATTCAAGTATACCAAATTATTGTATTTATTTTGTTTATGTATGAAGTGCCATTCCATATGTTAAAATGAAACTTCACTTTTTATTGAAATTTTACTTTTTTTTTTTTTTTTTTTTTTTTTTTTTTTTTTTACCACGGAACAGTCTAACAACATTGTAACGTCGAAAACGTAACGTAATGAGTTTCTCAAAAATACTCTCTCTATGCATTTTACACAGAGTCTGACCCTATATCCGCCTATTTAAACGTTTTTATTTCACTTTGCATTCAGTTTCCTAACAATGATTTCAGTAGCATAAGTTTCGATGTTGTTTTAACGGTATTGATAAGATTTTTATTAGGTCACCTGAGTCACTCAGGTAACCTATTGCTATTTGTTTTCGTCCGTCGTCGTTCGTCATCTGTCGTGCGTCGTCCGTTAACTTTTGAACATTTTTAACTTCTTCTCCAAAACCGCTGAACCAATTTCAACCAATTTTGGCACCTATGGGTAAAGGGGAACAAAAATTATGAATTTCATGGTCCCTGCCAAACTGGGGCGTGAGGGGTGGGGCTAAAACCACCAAAATTGATGCAATCTTTAAAATCTTCTTCTTTAATCCTGGACACCAAGTAGTCAAACTGTTGGCATGGTTATAATAAGCATTGAGCCCTCTACCAAAATTGTGAAATTCATGACCCCAGGGTCAGGGGTTCTGGTGCTAGGGCGGGACTATATAGATCATATAGTGAAAATGCATTGTATCTTCGAAAATCTTCTACTCTTCTCCAGGGTATTATTTAAACAAACTAAGCGCATGGTTATTATAAGCAATGCCTTTTCCAAAATTGTGAATTTCATGGCCTCAGGCTCAGGGGTTCTGATGTAAGGGCGGGGCTCTATTGATTATATAGTGAAAATGCATTAATTCTTTGAAAATCTTCTTTTCTGCTCCTGGGTATTATAAAAACAAACTAAGTGCATGGTTGTGATGCACAAGGATGGCTTTTACAGAATTGTGAAATTCATGGCCCCAGGGTCAGTGGTTCTTGTGCTAGGGCGGTGTTATATAGATCATATAGTGAAAATGCATTATATCTTTGAAAATCTACTACTCTTCTCCAGGGTATTATTTAAACAACCTAAGTGCATGGTTATGATAAGCAATGAAGCCTTTTTTAAAATTGTGAATTTCATGGCCCCTGGATCAGGGGTTCGGGTAATAGAGCGGGGCTCTATTGATTATATAGTGAAAATGCATTAATTCTTTGAAAATCCTTCTCTGTTCCTGGGTGTTATTTAAGCAAACTAAGTACATGATTATGATAAGCAAAAATTATGAAATTCATGGCCCCAGGGATGGGGCGGCTCTATTCATAATATATTGAAAAAGCATACTTTCTTTGATAACATAGTGAAAATGAATTATTTCTGTTAAATAATCCTGTCTGCCTCTTAGTGTTGAGCAGATAAACAAAGTTCATAGATATGATGAACAATTGTGCTTCTTATAATTTTTTGTCTAAACTTGTGGTACCAGGTTTTGGTGTTTCGCAAGGAAAGGGGGGGGGGATATATTGATAATATAATGAAAAAGTGTTAATTCTTTGAAAATATTCAAGTGCATAGTTATGATGAAGGTACCTCTATCAAATTTGTGAATTTCATGACCATGGGTTTTGATGTTAGGATAGGGCTTTGTTGAATCTGTAGTGAAAATGCATTATTTCTTTGAAAATCTTATCTGCTCCTTGGCAAATCGAAGGCAAACAGAATAAAAATTTTAATACGCAAGGATATTTTTACCAGATTTTTTTTAACAGCAGGACCATCGCTCTATTAATTTGTATTCTACTGAGAGAAATTATTCCCCTTTGCCATTCACTTTTGATAATTAATCACTGTAAATAATGTATTTGAAAGTCAATAGAAGAAGAGAATTATGCAAAAAATGATATTGTATAATACAAAAAAGTACTTTCATAGTTTTAATGATCAGGTAGACTTGTAAATAATAAATAAATCAAAATGAGACAAAAATAACTTATCTCATGAAATGTTCTTCAAAGACCAAGAGAGGCAAATGTGCGAGATCAGAATATGGGATTAAAATTGGTACATACGAAGTAATAGTTTGTTAATTGTCTGCACTGCAATAGTGGTAAATGGGTAATAGATAAGAATTTAATATATGAGTTGTTACTGAATACTAGACTAATTATTTCATTAATCCTGATCATCCTATTTCTCTTGCTTTTGGGCAACAAAGCTTCATCTATCAGTTTATATTATACTTTATGGATCCTCTAAATTGTTGTATTATACTCAGGAGACAGTTAAAGCCTTTTGGCCTCTTTTTGATAATGCGTTTCTTCTAACACACACAAAATATATACAATTAAAAAAGTCTCCCGCGTGGAGCAATGCTAGAGGTTTGTTCTTGAGTCGTGGAGTAATTAAGAGTTGATCCTTACGACCTGGATTCGAAGCGACGTGGAGACCGATACTTTATATATATATATATATATATATATATATATATATATATATATATATATATATATATATATATATATATATATATATATATATATATATATATATATATATATATATATATATATATATATTCAGAGAGAGAAGACACCTATAGCTAATATTTTTTTCTTTTACATAATGAAAGATTTGAGAATTTACCTAACGACACATTAAGAGGGTTGACCATGGAATCGAACAATTCATGTACTTCAGGCTTTCTACACACCGATAGTAGCTTTGTTGAAGGTTATTTAAACATTTTCATAAAAAATCTCTAAAATACAGCTTTAAGTTTAAGAAATTTACTTTATTTAATTCGCTCTCAATTTAATTAATGATGTATATTTTACACGTGGTTTCTTTGATCTGAATGAGTTATATCACAAACAAATACGTATGCAATCGACTTATTTATCACAGAAATACCTATGATTTTCCTTTAATTATCTACAGAGTTTGAGAAAATGGAATATTGCGACAAAGTATGGCGCTTTAAAGGAATTTCTGATGTGTCTGGCAACAATATTTGCTTATCTTGGAATATTTCGGTCATTGTGGATGGAGAAGAATGCAATATTATCTCGAAGTCTAATTGTCACCATGATGAGAAAGACCAATACAATTTTACCTGTTTCAAAGGAAATACACGAAGTAAGTTTGTTCTTTGAGGAGAATAAATAAATATAATCTTACCTGCTTCGAATGTAGTACTCCAAGTAAGTTGCAATTGGCTCTATGAGGAGAACAAATAAAAACGATCTTACCTTCAAGGATGCAAAAGTACCAAGTAAGTTTGCTTATAAACAACGTGGAGGCTTAAATGTTTGTTTTATAAAGCAATATTTTGATGTTAAGCTATATTATTGCACATAATGAAGCATTTAATAAACACGAGAATAAAAATATACGGAAAAAAGTATTGAAAGCAATCTCAAAAACTTTCCATCCCATTTGTTTGAGTAGACATTTTTTTCATCATTAATATTTGAATATTAAGCTTGATTTTTTGATTTGTTTTACAAAAAAACCCCCAAAAAACATCTTAGTATTTTGAATATATTGAAAGTGGTGAAAATGCTTTGAATTCTTGATTGACAGAATTGATGTGTGGTTAAAATTTCGAAGAAAAATATTAAAGATCGCATTTGTTAAACCTTTTATAAACATATACGAATTTTAGAGCAGCATGTAAAACTTCAAGCATTAATAAATTTGATTGCATAAATAAAAAAAGTCAAGAAAAAGGAATTCATGGATTAAAATTAAAAATATCATATTGTAAACAAAAAACTTTCCCTTTTGTTCTTTGTACTACAGAATTATCCAAAATCGTTAACATCTGATATAGTGTATAAAGGCATAAATATATATATATATATATATATATATATATATATATATATATATATATATATATATATATATATATATATATATATATATATATATATATATATATATATATATATATATATATATATATATATATATACTAAAAGAAATAAAAACAGACTGCTAGAGTCCAAATTAAATACAATCTTTACAGTTAGCGCTTTCAGCCATGTTGGCTCTTCAGACAGTTATGAAAAGTTTAAAACGTTGACAATAACGTTGCTAATGACGTTGTGATAATTAGGCATTATGACGTCACAATGAAGTTTGGTGGTAGCGGCTGCATGAACTTTTTCAACGCAGTTAAAACACAATGTATAATTAAAGCATAGAAATAATATAAAATCTGTGAATAAATAATCTATCATTTGCGATTTAGTTTTTGGATTAAACAGTCTTATAAAATAGTCCTCTTTGGTAACACGGGCGATTTCATCCGATGTCCACATTTTGTAGAACGGGAAAATCTTAAATTTTCGTTTACCACACTCAGCGAAATGTTCTGAACACGGGGTGCATCTGACAGTTTCGTCCCTTATATGTTGTTTGTGAACCCTTACTCGTGCGTTGAGTTGATTTGTCTGTCCTATGTAATATTCTCCACAGGTAGGGCATATTACACAGTAAATCAAATATGAAGATTTACAATTCATACTTGTATTTGGTTTTAAAACTTTCCCGTTTTTAAGTGTAATCTGTTCGTCCTCCTGAATGAAATCACACGTTCCACATCGGGGGTTACCACACTTTTTAACGACTCTCTGGTTGCTAGAGGAAAATTTTGCTTTGGTTAATATCCTCCTCATGTTTGGTGCTTGTCTTCTGCTGTTAATAATTGACGATTTGTCCAGAAGATTTTTCATGTTTTCAGATTGAAATATCCTCTCCGTTTTTTATTATGAGTATATCTAGAAAAGGAAGTGAACCACGATTCATGTCATTTGTAAAATTGATTGAATAGTGTTATTCATTAATGACCGAATGGAATTTTCTAAGATCCTCTTCACTCTTTGTCCAAAAGATGAAGCAATCATCCAAGTACCTTATCCAGTTCTCTTAAATGTACTGAGTAAAGTCCAGATTGTTTCCGGTAAAATATTGTAAAGTTTTTCTTCTAGAAATACCATAACTAAACAAGCATATGTAGGGGCGACTTTGGTGCCCATGGCAGTACCTTTGATTTGTAGATAATTTTCGTAATCAAAGAGAAAATTATTATTCACTAGCACAATTCTAAGTCCTTCTAAGAAGTTTGCGGGAAATCTATCGTCGATTTCTACCGGATATTTATCCAACCAATATTAGATATAATCTTAAAACCACTGTGAACCAAAGTGACCAGTTACGTTCGTGATGATATGGATTTCCTCAACTATATTCCACAAACAGTACCAAGAGATACACTGCTTGCTAGTTTTGATGTTACCAGCTTATATACTAATATTACGTATGATTTAGGAATTGAGGCAATCAAATACTGGTTCGATAAATATTCGGAAGAAATCGACGATACATTTCTATAGACTGAGGTTTTCAAATCAGATTTTTTTTGGTTTCTATTCCATCTCTAACTATGTTTTTTCTTCATTTAAATCAGTGATACTTCAACAATTATATCATGACTTCATGTTACTTTTGAACCAACGTCAAACATTTTCGAAGTGATCGTGACTATGATTTTTATTGTAACTTGACCATTAGCTATAAGTATAGAATCATTTTTGTTTCATTGTCTTTTAAATAGTTATGAGTAGAATCCATCAACGGTACAACTATGATTGTTTGAGTTGTTTGTCTTATATTTCGGTCATGTTGGGACGACAGGAAATTCAGACCTGAAAAGTGTGCGACTTCCGGGCAAGAATTGTTTTGGAAACATGTAGGATTAATTTGAAAGTCATTTCATTTTAAAGATGGCTCTCGATCGGCCAAGATCTTAATTTTGCTGTTTGAAATAAGTATAAATCTAATATATCTTGCCAAATGTAAAAAAAAAATGTCCCCGTGAACAACAATAAATGAGAAGCTACGGGATAGTGTAAAATAGATGTTTTTCATTTTCTAAATATAAACATGATAAAGACAGAAAATGTGAAATGTAATTATTTACTAATATACAACGATTTTAAGGACATTAAGTTGATACACTGTAGATACATTACATGTTAATCAATATTCCACAAAATCTTCTTTGGGCAGTTCCAAGATTTCCGGTGGTGATTAATTTGGGACGGGGTGGGGTGGTTGGTAGGTAGAGTTAAAAAGTTTAATGACATACCTACATATATATAGTTAATATGAGTTTAGTAACAAAATTCTAAAGCTTTATTAAGGTGCGCAAGTCTGGTGTCTATACCCCCTCCCCCCAACACCACAATATAACCACCAAGTTAGCTTCAAATTATAATGGAAAATTATTTTTCAATCTATTTTTGCACCTTTATCTTTTTTCAAATAATTATAGATAAGTCATTTTCTTAAACAATTACCTATATCGGGCTCCAGATGCCTGTAACTAGAAACTGCTATGAATGAGTGAAACTGCACCCAAGAATAATATTAGCGAATACGAAAATGATTTAAAGAAGTATACAGTTAATAGATTACGGGCATTTTCGTTATCATATAAAACGAATGAATCCAAATTTCGTTAAAATGTGAAATCGATTTGTCGATGTATTTATTTATTAAAATCAAATACATTTTCAAAGAAATAAATCAAAAATAATTATATATATGTTATTTTAATAAATCATGCTGTTTAATTTATAATTAAAGTTTAATTTAAATGGAAATAAGACTTATAATGTACATGTCCAGTTAAGTGTCTGTTAAATGTAGGTAATATTTCGTGACTGACCGAGTTTTTAAATGACGGATGTTTGCGATACATTCAATATACACTCAATATACACGTTCAACATTCAATATACATTCAATGTACACGTCCGCGAAGCGGATTATAAAACAGCGTAAACTGACCCAAACCAGGTTATACTCGAATAATTTGGCCAAGAATTAGAGTCATTCCTTATAATTTAATTTTAAAATCATTAAATAACTAAGGGTGTAGAATTTCGTTGCTTTTTATTAGTCCAAATTTGCCGCTCAATAATACAACCGTAGTAACGGAAGTGATGGGAAGCGAGGGGAGGTAAAAACTGATGCATAGGCCTAGCGGCAGCCTTGTTGTTTGTTTACATGTGGTAAGATCGAATTATTGTTCAGTTAAAGGTACAATTATTAAATCTGGAATTTTCCATGAATCCCGAGGACTGGAAATGAGAGGATTGTATGGATACAGATGATTCAGCTGGTTGTCAGAGGGGTGTGTCCCCGTACCAAACCAGGTTATACAGAAATAATTTGTGTTCCTTTTTGGATATTATCCAATCAGAGGCTAGAATACAAACGAAATTAAATTATTTGATGGTGTCAAAAGGATTTCCGAATTTCTCCCCCTTCACAGTGTCTTTCTCATATGAAATTCTAATAAAAGTTGTGTCGAAGTTTAATTCTACAAATTAATGAAACAAAAATATTATCATTCCAAATAAAATGCTTTTAATGAATTTCAATCTGGTCCCATGCCAAAGAGATGGATTAGCTAAGCACTGTTAAGCTTTACACTTGTCAGAATTAAGTCCTGATAACATAAAATCCCCCCCCCCCAACATGTACCGCCACAAAAATAAAAACCTTGCACGCATACAGTGTAATGTATATATTTTGTGCAGTGTATTTGTAGAATTTTATTACATGTACAAATAAAACCTGAATTAATCTAATTTTAAAGCATTGTTTTACAAATACAATAAAAAAAAAAATCTGTTCACGTAATTTTAAGGCAAGTTAAGCAATTCTGTTCCAAATCGATAACTGGGCTTATATATCATTAATAAAACGCGTTTTCAACAAAATATTATAACTGTTAAGACATACTGCGTTTATATTATGAATGACAAAGATAATATTGACCACAGTGATAAAGATTTGCAAATGATACTTATACCTCTGACCTTCATACAAATGCATAAATGAGTACCAAAAAAGTAAATTTTTCAGATTCTGAAAACGAATGTACTTAGTTATAGTTCAGAAAACAAAAAAGCAGGGGATGCTCACTCCTCCAAGGCACCTGATCCCACCTCTGATGTTTCTGGACGTCCTTGTTTGCTCTGCTCCCGTTTTTTTTTATTGTTTTAATGGACTTCGAGCTTGAGTACTGTTCGTTATCTCCATATTTCATCTTCTCACTTAAGTTTGACATTTCTTTAAACATATACATGTATAGCATGCATTAAATTGGATCCAATATACATCCTTCTCTCTGTCTCTCTCTCTCTCTCTTATATCAGTTAAAAAATATTAAGTTGTTCCTTCTGTTTTTGTAGTAATATTTAATTTCAATCGGTAGTTTTTGTTTACATTTAAATTCTTAAACAAAAATTGAAAGTGGATGTGTGAAACAAGCAAAACAAAATTAAAAAAGAAAAGAAAACGAAAGCTAAAAGAAAAAATAACACCTAAAACAACCAAAAAAATTAAAACCAAAAACTCAAAACAAACAAACAAACAAACAAACCAAAAATCAAAACAAAGAAACAAAAAAAAAAAGAAAGAAAGAAAGAAAAAAGAAAAACAACCACCAAAAAAGTAAAAATAACAAACTGCGTGACTATGAAATAAACCACATATATATTTTGCTGAAATTAATTATCCATAATATGAACATTTTTTTCAATATCTCTAGTACCTCGAGTTAACTCTCTTGTTTTTATTTATAGAAACTATCATATCTCGTCTCCTAATTGTCATTCGATTATGAAGCCTTCAAGAGAAGTATACTTTTCTTTCCTGTAAGACGAAGTATTTTGACTAAATACATCGCATAAAAACATTTTACACAAAAGTAAATGCAATATGTACCGATGATTCAATGTTTACATGTTGCGAATGGTGGAGCGGATCAATATCCAATAGTAGCAGGTCCACATATATCAAATCGCATTCATTCGTCCATATATTCAATACATTAGTAAATAACCTTGTCTGAAGCTTCTGACAGAAATGAATATACAATGTAGATGAGAGACTACTAGTAAATAAACTGATCTAGAATAAAATTCTGTCATATTTGTATTAAAACCAGTGGCCATAGAGATTCAGACACAAATGAAATATATGAATGAAAATAAATTATTATCAGTACTCAGATCTATAGCAAAACTAGTGTCAAAACGTAAACACGTGGTAAAAATATCTTAGTCGATGTTCGCCGTCACTCTGCAACTCACATATCTATGACCTTGTTGTCCATAAGCACCCTTTTCTCATGAATGCAAATATATATATATATATATATATATATATATATATATATATATATATATATATATATATATATATATATATATATATATATATATATATATATATAATATATATATATATATATATATATATATATATATATATATATATATATATATATATATATATATATATATATATATATATATATTTATATATATATATATATATACATATATCTATATCTATATCTATATATATATATAGGTTAATTGTTAGAAATGTTGACGGACAAGGTTTATTTGCACGAAACCAGTAAAACTCTGCAGATAAAAACTATACGTATTTTCCAATACATATGCAAAGATTTGGTGTTTTCCGATGATCGTTAAAAAAATGCAGTTATATCATTAAGATAAAGCATGCTTCACGGAGCATGCCACTTTTTCGCACGTTTATATAACATAATTTTTTTTAAATTAAAAATTGCACTGTTATAGCGCATAAAGGTTTATGATGTTTCACCTGTCGCTACTATAATTATGAAACAACATTTGGCGAAAATATGAGTTAAAATGGAGGGGTTAAGACTGTTTTATCGCTAATTATAGATGAGCAATGCGTAAAAACAAAGTCAAGAATAGCAACGTCATTGAATATCTTGGAGCACTAAGCTATTGAAAATTTATGTGTGCAGACAGGAAAATGCCTAAAAGAGACAAAAATGTTTTTAGATGCTTCTTGGGAATGCCTACATGTACCTGCCTACACGTACCTAGGAACAGAGTGTTCATTTATAAAAATGGATTGCAATTTTTGATGATCAACTCTTGTGATACCCCAAAACCTGCACGGACGTTGCGCCTATGGTTTTTGTATAGCTGTTTCCATACCTCATCTCTTAACTGCGAAGAAATTAATTTTAAGATCTCACTAATATCCAACACGCCACAAAAGATGTTTTAGAAAAGAGATAGCATGTCTTCATGTAGTTATTTAATTTTCAAGTAGGAAAAAGACCTGAAAATTCTATAGAAATGAAAGATATTTTAAACTGTGATAAAGATTAAGGGGTTTGGAATTAGGTTGTTGCATCACCTATCGTCAAAAAAGTCAAGTGATTACTTCATGAACCCTATGAGGGAACAGTAAAAATCATTGTTTGTTTTCAAAATTTTAGTAAATGGACCTATATATATATATATATATATATATATATATATATATATATATATATATATATATATATATATATATATATATATATATATATATATATATATATATATATATAGAATTCCGGTATCTTAACATATACTGGTGGTACACCCATCCTGGACACTTTCTTCTGACCAATCTGTTATCCTCTCTACAATGTATGTTTGTACATTTTAGAGAATAAAGTCATTGTCATTCACAGAACCATATTTGAGCACCTATTCTTCATCTTTAAGCAACCTTTGATCACTTTAAGGAGTGGAGATAGCTTAATTGTAGCTTAATGATAGTTTATTTGTTACTTAAAGATAGTTTACGAGTGCTTAAAGATGGCTTAAAGACGATCTTTATTCAACATTTAAGAACGTATATCACTCTTTAAGCCAAGTTTAAAGGAAGTGTGCAATTGATCTTTTGGTAATTGAAGATTAATGTAGTTTTAAACAATTGAAACTTTTACGTATTAAAATCAAAACTGTTAATATTATTAGCTTCATTCTAAAGTATTCTTAATTTTAGCAAGCCCCTCCAATGATAAAACTACTGAGCAATTTACTAGTTCCTATGACAATGAGGACGAAGGAGATGATGAAGATAGCAGTGATGATGATGATTATGAAAGTGATAAAGAAAGAAATGAAAATGATGATGAAATTATCCCTTACTGCCAGACTGTACTCGATGACAACAGGGATACATCTAAAAAAGATTTCAGAAAATGCAAGTTAAATTAAATAAACATTATTTCACCCTACCTTTACATCACTGTTGTTCAAAATATTATCAAGTAAGGACGATTACTTACCTGAAGTGGTCAATCAACAAAGAAACATAAAATAATTTTGTAGTTTGATAATTCATTTCACCAAAATAATATACTTTCCATACTTTCTTGTTTTGATCGGCTTTTCAGTAATCAATCGGAAAGGATAAAAGGAAAAAATACGACGTCATATTTTTTTCATTTAGAAACTATGTTAATTTGAAGAAATTAATGTATGTATCATTGACAGTTAAAATGAGTTATACTAATTGATTAAAATGAAGAGACTGGTTCAAAATTTTTTTTTCATATTTTACAGGCTTGAGAAGGACGAGAAGAAGCGTGAAAAGGGAGTGCGAGGATAAGATAAATCAGCAAAACGGTGAATTTTTGAAAAACTGAGTTTAAGCGGGGTTGGTGAAATCCTTCTTATACATCAACTTATATGTCACAAGCTTGCCTCGGTTTGAAAATTGATTTTACTAAGAGCATGCTTTTGCGTATCGAATCAGTTGGGAGACATAAAAACTATATGTAGATGATCCTTGAATATTACTACATATATTTATGCAAGGGAAGTTGACAATAGATAAACGTAAGTCATCCCGATTGTCAGACAGTTAAGTATCGTCTATAGTCTATACAACATTCAACTATGAAACAGATGTTAACAGATGTGGATACTTAAAAAAACTCAAAGGAACTTTTAGAAAATTTAAAATCACTGTTTTTTTTTTACCAAAACCAATAATATCAATACGTACGGCTTTTCAAAAATTTATACAACCATTCCCCAAGATAAATTGAATTCGAGGCTTTTTTGACGACATACACAGCTGCTTTTTAGGTCACCTGAGTCACTCAGGTGACCTATTGCCATCCGTTTTTGTCCGTCGTCGTGCGTCGTCCGTCGTGCATTAACTTTTGAGCATTTTCAACTTTTTCTCTGAAACCGCTCAACCAATTTCAATTAATTTTGGCATATAGCTTTTATGGGTGAAGGGGAACGCAAATTGTGAATTTCATGGTCCCTGCCCTCCTGGGGCCCCAGGGGTGGGGCTAAAACCACCAAAATTGATGCGATCTTCAAAAATCTTCGTCTTTACTCCTGGACATCAAGGAGTCACACTGTTGGCATGATTGTAATAAGTATTGGGCCCTCTACCTAAATTGTGAAATTCATGGCCCCAGGGTCAGGGGTTCTGGTGCTAGGGCGGGGCTCTATTGATTATATAGTGAAAATGCATTAATTCTTTGAAAATATTTTCTCTTCTCCTGGGTATTATACAAACAAACTAAGTGCATGGTTATGACAAGCATTGATGCCTTTTCCGAAATTGTGAAATTCATGGCCCCAGGGTCAGGGGTTCTGGGGTTAGGGGGGGGGGTGGCTCTATTGATTATATTGTGAAAATGCATTAATTCATTGAAAATCTTTTTCTCTTCTCCTGGGTATTATACAAACAAACTAAGTGCATGGTTATGACAAGCATTGATGCCTTTTCCAAAATTGTGAATTTCATGGCCTCAGGCTCAGGGGTTCTGGTGTTGGGGGGGGGGGGGTGGCTCTATTGATTATATAGTGAAAATGCATTAATTCTTTAAAAATCTTCTTTTCTGCTCCTGGATATTATTTAAACAAATTAAGTGCATGGTTATGACAAACAATGATGCCTTTTTCCAAAATTGTGAAATTCATGGCCCCTGGGTCAGGGGTTCTGGTGTTGGGGGGGGGGGGGAGGCTCTATTGATTATATATTGAAAATGCATTAATTCTTTGAAAATATTCTTCTCTGCTCCTGGATATTATTTAAACAAACTAAGTGCATGGTTATGATGCACAAGGATTCCTTTTTCAAAATTGTAAAATTTATGCCCCCAGGGTTGGGGAGGGGGGGGGGCTCTATTGATTATATAGTGAAAAAAGCATTAATTCTTTGAAAATCTTCTTTTGTGCTCCTGGTTATAAAGTAAGCTAAGTGTGTAGTTATGATGAACAAGAGTGCTTCTTCATGAATCATGACCTCTAAGTCAGATGTTCTGGTGTAAGGATGGGACTCTATTGATAATATAGTGAAAATGCATTAATTCTGTTAAATAATCCTCTCTGCACCTTAGTGTTGAGCAGATAAATAAAGTGCATAGTTATGATGAACAACTGTGCTTCTTAAAAAATTTTAAAACTTGTGGTCTTCAGGTTTTGGTGTTTCTCAAGGGGGGGGGGGGAGGGGGGGGGGCTATATTTATTAATAAAATGAAAATCTGTTAATTCTTTTAAAATCTTCAACTAAGTGCATAGTTATGATGATGAGGGTACCTCTACCAAATTTATGAATTTCATGACCCTGGGACATGGGTTTTACTTTTAGGGTAGGGGTGTGTTGAATCTGTAGTGAAAATGCATCAATATTTCTTTGAAAATCTTCTCTGCTCCTTGGCATATTGAAGGCAAATAGAATTAAAGTTTTAATAAGCAAGGATATTTTTACCAGATTTTTGAACATCAGGACCATTTGGTCAAGTTTTCTGGTCCTAGTCAGGGCTCTATTAAGGTCAGACGATACGTTCCTCAAATATCTGTTTTGTATATCTTCGAATTATGTGGAAAATATTCAAAATTTTAATTACCTTCTGATTTATGAAGAGGTTTCTAATTTTCTTTTAAAAAATGAAACACCAAAAAAATGTGATATTGGCTAATTAAGTTTTTTCCAAAAGGATTTTATAGGAAAAGCATCTTCTGGTATCTTGCACAAAAGCCTGGTAAGGTACCTCAATTTTTTGTGAGTAAACATGTTAAAGTATCAATACTTCAATGACAAAATCTTAGAAAAAATTATATATTATATATTATTGATTATTAATTTGTATTCAACTGAGAGAAGTTATTCCCTTGGCCATTTTCTTTTGATAATTAATTACTGTAAATAATGTATTTGAAAGTTAATAGAATAAGAGAATTATGCAAAAAAAAAAAAAAAAAAAAAAAAAAAAAAAAAATTGAATAATACAAAAAGTACTTTCATAGTTTTAATGATCAGATAGACAAATAATAAACAGATAAAAATGAGACAAAAATAACTTATTAAATGTTCCTCAAAGACCAAGAGAGGCTAATGTGAGAGGTCACAATGTGGGGTTAAAAGTAGTGCAGAGGAACTATTAGTTTATTAATAGTCTACATGGTGATAGTGCTAAATGGGGAATAAATTAGAATTTAATGTATGAGTTGTTACTGAATACTAGACTAATTATTTCATTGATTCTGATCATCCTATTTCTCTTGCTTTTGGGCAACAAAGCTTCATCTGTCAGTTTATTTTATACTCTATGGATCTTCTAAATTGTTGTATTATACTAAGGTGAGCGTTAAGGCCCTTGGGCCTCTTGTTTAATAATAATGGAACTCGTAAATTTACCTACCTTGTCATTGGTAATTTGCTGAATTATTTTGTTAAAAACACTCTAATTGTACAAACAAATACTCTGAAGTAGATATTGAAAAGATGCTTGAGTTTTAACTAACAATATTTATGTAGTGTTTTGGAGATCAGGTCTTCCAACAATCTGTCGGAATTTTCATTGGTGCCAATACGTTCTACTTCCACTATGAAAGAGTTATACTTCTTAGTGCGCTCTTTTGTGAAAAAGTCGGAAAATGTACAAATCTCGCGGGATTTCTGGGACAAACGTAACATAAACATGTAAACAATATGTTGAATGTCGATGAACAGTTCCTTAGAAAATGCAAATGAAATATTTTATTGTTGTGGACTTTATATACATCAAGAGTAGGAATGACAACGATATCAATTTATATCTATTGTTGATCGTATGTATCTATTTATCGTATAGTACATCTAAATACAATAACATGCCTCGGAAATGTCGTATTTTTTATTAATGGATGATCAATTTAGGGTTCTCGCTCTCTTACATATGTCTTTTAGTTCTTCTATTCTTTAATTGGAATGACAAACACATTTAACATTTAAAATTGGATTGAGATTGGCATGTTTTGTATTATCCGCCACGCCATGCTGTCCCAGTCAGACGACCAAACGCGCCTCTAATTTTGAAGAGTTCACTAATGGAAATAGAACGTATTGTGCGCTTTTATTAACAGACCTATTTTTGTATTCATATGAAGCAGAATTTATTCAAAAACGTTTTCATGAGTAAAAGACACTATTGTGGCCTTCAACTCGATATTTAAGTATATCGTCGAGGTATTATCAATTAACAATAGTTACTTCCATTCATATGTTAACACAATACATTCCTACGGAAGCCCAATAGTGCCAACCTGTATACATAAAGGAAAAGTAATATATAAATCACACTTTAATACATAAAGAAAATGCGAAATATAAAAAGAAAACCTCGAAATATATAAAGGAAATGCGCATTATAAAAGCAAAGCCTCGAAATATACATGTATAAAGGGAATACAAAATATATATACAAAACCTCGATATATATAAAGGGAATGCGAAATATATAAACAAAACCTCGATATATATAAATGAAATGCGATATATATATAAACAAAACCTCGATATATATAAAGGAAATACGATATATATAGAGAGAGAGAGAGAGAGAAAGAAAATTTTCCTGAATCGCTCAGTTGTCCATCAAGATTAAATATAGTTAATATTTAATACTTAATAGAATTGAAAATCTATCAATGAACTGTAATTATAACATTACTTAATATAATGCGCTTAATTGAGTAGATGGGCATTTAATTGTATATTGATGAAATTATTTTAATGTATATCGTATTTTTCTGTGTATTTAATATCTTACATGTCTTCTAGATCAACTTCGTTTTCACGGCCTTCCTTGTTTACTGTTTTCCTACAACTAAAATTTATTAAATAATGTTCATCATGGAATCCTTTTCTTTTGCCCGTAATTAAATTAATTTAAATTAATTATGTAAGTAATATATAACCTTTGATAAACTTTTACACGTATAAAAGGAAATCGGAATGGAAGATCAGGGAGAGACGAAGGTACACGTTTTTTCCACATCATTTGATTGTGATGGAAGATCGGATTTTGAGAGAAGAAGGCGATAGTTACAACTTTAACAATTTCAGGTCTTTGGTGTGAATAAATATCATGTACATATATTAGTGAATTAATGATAGGAGACGATTTTAAATACTCCATGCATCATTTTCAAAACAAAGTAAAACGTTAACGAACTTATAAAACAAGATATAACTCACATACATTTTTGCCTGATTTATATTTCAATTGAAAATACTTCCAATTTTCAGTGCTATGGAATATACATTTTGAGTGAAAAAAGTCTCTTTAAATTAATTCGGCCGCACAGGTTTGAAATATAAAAAGAATGGCGGTTTATTAGCTTTAGTTTTAATCACCATATTAAGACACACAAAGAAAACACAACAAACTGAATACCATCCTGAAACTGAGCAATATCAACCGTTTGCACTCAAACAGTAGCTCGGGGAGACGCTTATTAGATGTTGGCAAATCTCTGATGTAATGAAGGTCATTAAAGGTTAGGCGATGAACATTTTTCTCTTTATATATATCTAGGTTTTGTTTATACATTTTGCATTTTCTTTATATATTTCATGGTTTTGTTTTTATATTTCGCATTTCCTTTATATATTGAGGTTTGCTTTTATAAAAAGCTTTCTTATATATATATATATATATATATATATATATATATATATATATATATATATATATATATATATATATATATATATATATATATATATATATATATATACAGATTGACACTAATGGGCTTCCGTACATTCCAGTGAACTTGAAATAAGATATCAGAGAGTCTGACACATCTGTTTCACATTTGAATATTGTACTAGAAAAAGATTTTAATGGTAACCTAATAACAAAACTTTATGATAAACGTGATGACTTTTCTGTCTTCAACTTCCCATACTTATGTAGCAATATACACTTTATCTTCTTATCATCTGCATTTGGGGTTTATATCTCCCTGTTGATTCGATATGCAAGAGCCTGCTCCACATACGAACTATTTCTGAAACGAGGCAAGCCAATGACAAACAAGTGGATGAAACAAAAAATATCAACTGTCTCGTTTGATGTCAACAATTTGTCAGTTCTATGGTCGATGCTATGACCTTGTTACCACATACAATCTATCATTTAGTGGAATGTCTGACGTTTTTCATACCGATTGTTAGGTCACTATTTAAACACTGATTTGTCCGATTGATTGATCATGACAATGAACACAAGGCGGGTGTGACCGGTCGATGGGGGTTGCATACTCCTCTATGGCATCTGATCTCACCTCTGATTTGTTTCAGAGGTCCGTGTTTGCTCTGCTCCCGATTTGTATGGTTTCAATGGACTTTTGAGCTTGATTATTGTTCGTTATCTCCATATTTCATGTGACAAATTTTGTAGTTTCTTTTATTTCGAGTTTACTGTGATATCTATCTCGAGTCGACATATGAATGAAAATTACTCTTGCTAATTAATAAATGCCATCGATTAGTCTAAATGTTGAGTTGAAGGCAACAACAAGAGTTTTTTGATAGATTTTACTTCAAGGGAATATAAAACAGGTCATAAAAGAGCACAATTAGTGCCCGTCGAAATTCAAACCGATTGTTGGAAGACCGCCAAAGACAACATAGATTTTATCAATGAGGAACTCCAGCATCATTTTAAAATCAATTCAGGGCGCTTGCATGCAGAATAAGAATGATTTTTAGCGAAAATAATTTAGATAACTTATCACAAGATATGAAAGCTATCATTTTTTCTATTTTTACTGAGCAAGCAGCTCTCTATGGTATCAAAAAAGCCTGCCGTTGAAATTACTGCCAGGATGAGTTGCATAAAGCGTAGAAAAGTCATGTTTTGATGGCATTGATCTTTGAAAAATTTTGTGATTGAAAAGATTTTTTAAAGACGTTACTCAAATGTCACTCATTCTTAATTATCTCTCTTTGTAAGAGGTTGTGGCCCTTCATTTTAACAAACATCCATGGATGCTTTCTGGCAAGTTTGGTCAAAATTGGCCAAGTGGTTCTTGAAAAGAACCCGAAAATGTGAAAAGTTTGTCTTACACCGTGCCAGAAAAATTAAAATTATGTGAAAGCTTCATACTAAAGTGTAGATTCTGTAAAAAGTTTGTGTCAAAATGTTCATAGTACATATTGTCGCCGAGGACAATATGTGCCGATGCATGAATGTACTTTTTGTCGTCCATTATGCAGGAAAAAAAGACTTGTCTCGAACCATGGACGACAACATGTCCAGTGAATGTAGTTACGTATTGTCGCCAACGACAATTTGCACAGAATGACAATATGTACAGTCAAAAGGAAACTTTGAGTATAGGTTGGATTACCAGATGTGGAATTAAACCAAGTTCTAAACTTGAAATAATGGGCCTTACAGACAAACCCATACCCAATATATATTTCAAGAAAATAAATTTTCCAAGTTTCTGTCGTGATTTTCGTTTACTATTATAATTTTACCTTTTTTCTCATTATAACCTTAACTGACAAATACATGTATGTTCTATCTTAAAGGATAAAGGACAGGGCTATGTATTTTACAACTAAACCCATTTAAACTTCAAACATGCAACGTAAAACAATTATTTGGCAGAGTCAAAACTTATTAAATGTTAAATTTGGTGCCATGAAATATATATAGGATATTCGATGTTTTGTAGATGAATATGGAATTTATTTCACGAGTGGGACAGGATTTTTCGATATTTTCACGAGAGCAAAGCACGAGTGAAAATATAAAAAAAATCCTGTCTCACGAGTGAAATAAATTCCATATTCATCTATAAATCATTGAATTTTCTGTTAATTACATTTTATCAGATTTTTCATTTTGCCTCTGTCTTTTTTGTAACACAGTGTCATAGGCTGTGACGTCATAGTTGAGCGGTTGAGACGTCATAGCTATAAGCGATTGCAAGATTGAAAAAATTTGTAAACATGGATTTTTAAGAACATATTTGGAAAAACTATCAGTCTCTGTCAGGATGGCTCATTAACTCTATCTACAGGCCAGGTATTTAAAAAAACACTCTTCGTAAAGGGAAGGAAAATCGTAAGTTTTGCCGCACTTCTGATATTCTCATACTGTGAGAATACCACTTTGTTTCCTTTCACGCTGTGTCAGAATATCATTTTATTCAGTAAATAAATTACAGTATTTCACTGTTGAAATGTAATAAATGGAGATAACGAACAGATCAAAAGTCCATTTAAACAATACAAATCAGGAGCAGAGCAGACACGGACCTCTAAAACATCTGAGGTGGGATCAGGTGCCATGGAGGAGTGGCCGATCGGTCACATCCGCCGTGTGCTCCTTGTCATGATCGGGAAATAACGTCATCTTAAAATTTAACCAGACGTGTGTTCCTTACATATTATTTTTTTTTATTTCTTTAACAAAATATTTCATACAGCCTTTGTTAATAGTTCTTCTGGGTTTGAAATTGAGAACATTGAAATTTTCATCTATTTATTATATATACTGCTATTATGGAAGCTATAATTATATCCAAAGCACCCACTATACTTTGGATACTGTTCAATGTTTTACATTTTAAATTATCGTTGTTTTTCTTTTCTTTTTTTTTTATTTTGCCTGGTTTTGTCTTCTTATACATATTTATTCTTGCAGGTATTTTTGTGTTGACACATTTAGTTGCTGTAGCGATTGGGGCCGGAATCTTATATTGCGTTTTGATCATGAAAAAAATGAAACGCGCATTGTAAGTATTCAACTGCAGAGACTCTGACTTGAGTTTTTGTGATTTAAATGTCTTGTTTAAATTTCAGAAATTCCAATTCTAGATTGAGATGCCAATAGACGAGAAAACATTCTATGACATATTGGTTGTTTTTATTGTTATTGATTCCTCTTCTTCTCAAAGACTTAAAAAATTATAAATTATTTTATTAGAAACCATATGTATCTGAATTGAAATTGATGTAAAACCAACCTGAAGAAAAAATATAAAATGATAAGAGTTTTGATTGATTAGTAACAAGTTGACTTTTTCTTCCTGTTGATAAAATATAATAGATTTAAAAAATATAAGTAACATATATTTATATTCAAAAATCAAAGAGCTAAAGCCACGAACCATCATAATTGGCCCTGTGTTTTTCATAAAAATAAAGTTTCGATTCAAGAAGAGTACTATACGTTAAATGTTAGAGGACAACATACTTCTTTTCCATACGTAACTCATTTCGTTATATAATGCGCCATTAAGCAAGTGCGACGGTTGGAAAATGCGACGGTTTCATACAAACGTTAAAAAATGCCGATTTTTCGACAGATTTTCCCAAAGTTAGATGTGGCCACAGTCAAGAACAACTTTTATACTTACCATAGATATAGATATCGCCGATACAAATCTTTATGTTTATTATCGTTGTTGTTCGTGGCTGTGGCCATTATGAAATTTGATTTTATATTTAAATTTTGATGAATCAAATAATCGCTAATTTGTGAATCAATCGTTTTAATTCATGCAATAATAAAAAATTATAAATTTCACAAAATATACTAGAAAATCGGTCTATTGTTCATTTAAAATGCTAAATGTGAAGAAGAGTCAACTATGTACATTTTCTGAAATAAATATCTGGAAAAACTTATGGTTTTACTATGAATAGGTCCATTAAATATGACGTTACTAGTAAAACGTCAGTTGTGACGTCATAAAGGCTGTAAATTATTTGGGATATTGCTGTTCTGTTTTTAATGCTCTCGAATAATGAAATTAAGATACTGTCCCTATTTATATGATTTAAACCCAACTGGATGATACCATCAAAATACAAGTTATCAGAAATTCCCGCCACGGTGTTTTTCTTTACTACCCCTATCCCCCCCCCCCTTTGAAATAATTCAAAATACTGTTGTTTACATTGTTAAATTGTAAACAAATTAATAGATAAAGTTACAAAGATATCACGCTAGACCTTTGTAAAACAAGCGAAATAATAATGAGATAGCTTGCTGTCCAAACTGAAAATCTAAAAAAAAAAAAAGAAAAGAAAAGAAATGACCAAAAAAAAAAAAAACGCATTAAGATCTAGATTTCCGCACCGAAATTTACCCTTTAGTGTACATGCAGAAGAATCATCTCAGAGGATTTATAAAATTCAGTTATATCGATGGCTTATACATGCTGATACAAAATAATGTATAGTTATAGTATACATGTGTGTTTGTACCGATATCGGGTTTCGTCAAAACACTTGCACTTGACGAACCCGCGCCCGTGATCTAGAACATAGCATATAATACATGTATATATTTTTAATGTGTCTGTATTAGTGAGGATATTGATGCATGTATACATATAACAAATAATTGATCTTGTAATCATTTGTGAAACATAATTCAAATATACCCCCAGTGAGCAAAAATCCATTAAATGCATGTCAGATGTCTTAGAAATCAGTATAAAATGTTAATGCATTTTTTGTACTGTGCTCCAAATGTCTATAATAATATACGGATTTGTTTTATCTAAGAATTCAGCACCGTGAAAACACATGGAGAGAGAGAGAGAGAGAGTCCTTAGAATGTGTTTAAAAAAAAAACAATAAACTGGGAATATATTCTTTGAAACGTATGGTCGTAAGTTGTTTATAGCCATTTTTTTTAACCCAGGCCCACGAAGTAGAATTTTTTTGGATAATAATTTTTACTCTTTTTTAAATCTTTCAGCTTATTCTGGTATAGTATCCCCTTCCTCAGTATTAACTATTAGTATCATGATATGTAGAATGGTAGATTCCAGTTGAGATTGAAAAAGGGGGGGGGGATTACAAACAAATGACAGCAAAACTTGCATCTAATGTAGTTATCTTCAGTTTATTCTCAAAAGTAGTTTTGAATTTAACTTTCTTTATTGTTAATTAATAGAATTCAATCTAGAAATTGAAATTGTTTTAGAATTTCCTACTTCTCATATTTTTTCCTCAATGGGGGGGGGGGGGGGGGGGTACCTGGTATGGCGGCGCCACTTTTCACGAAAAGGAAAAAATTCATAAAGAAAACTGAAAAAAAATATATATATAAGGACAACTCTTATTGCTTCTCTGAGTAAAACCTTTTTAAGCAAGCTTTTCTTGAGTAAAATCAATCTTGCGCTGATTGTAGGACAAATAAACACCTGTACATGTTTTTCACTTATGATAGTGACCCACATATCAGCAATATCAATGCAATTCTACTCTTTTTATAAACAAGAAATCATAATGTGCAAACGAAATCGAAAGTGTGGATTTTACATTATGGTTACGTATGATAATAACGAAGAATTGCTGATGCTTAATCTTTTTGTACATTTACATGGAAAATAATCATAGAATTTTTGCAAACTTCTACCCTTACAAATCCTCGCAGATAAGATATTTGGGAGAAAAATATTCGAATACTTTGCGGGAGAAAGGGGGTGTGTAGCAAAGACCGTTAAATATATAATAACGGACATTGACAAGTGATTTTTTAACAAATTTATTTTTCTTAAGAATATTTTTTGAAATGTACATGTATTCCATATTACTCCAAAGAAACTCTATTTAGGGCTAGAATGTTTTGATGAGTTCTGTTTACTAATTAAACCATTCTGATAAATTGCGAAATCCCTTTCCAATTAATCTAAAATTATCCCTGTTTCTGTATCGAAAACGACGTTCAAATTATTGTTACAAATGCATGAATTGATTACTAGTAGTCCGTCCAACTTTTTTCTTCCTCCTCTTTTCCAAATAATTTAGATCTTTTACCTGTATATGTTAGAAACTCGCAATTTTAGGATCTAAGGATTTCGCATTGAAAGTCTATTTCAATTTAAATAAAACTTTTTGCAACTTAACTTCTATCCAGTTATAAATATAATGAGCTCTTTAGTTCAGAAACATTCGTTTCAAGATCATTTCAGTTATCTTGTCAATTACTTTTTCCCGACTGTCCCCTTCCCAACTTTGAAAAACGATACTACGTGCCTGGACGCACATGCCAAAGATCAGCTTTATACCTGCAGGCCTGTAAAGAAAAATCCGGAAACCAAAATCGGACAGACTATCAGCATTTGAAGCTTGTCGTATATTGTTTATGATCAATACTTACCGGTAACTAGGAGGGAAGCATCGCTCAAAAATGTGTTGAAGGGATATAAATAGAATGTTCCTCTTTAGTATTATATTACATAGGAACCAGGTAGAATAAAAAAATACCAAGACAGTCACAGAGATTATTATACCCCCGCTTGAAAAGTATGTGGGGGGATATATACGCTTTAGGGTACACAACTCTAATCTTCAACTCCTCTTATACGACTGGATAAGATTTAATGATACTTTAACGAATCTTTGTTACAAGTGCCATTGTGATCGGATGCATATTTCGGGTCTCCCAAAGCAAAACATAGAGTTTGCCATTATAAACATATGCGAGACGGGGGTATCATTTTGTGAGCCCAGTACTCACAGTACCTCTAGTTTTTTACTACATGTATCTATAAAATCCAATCAGTTACATGTAAATACGAGGTTGCCATATAAAGACGGCAATGTAAAATCAAGTTCCAAAATCCTTTTAAAAGTCTTAAATTAATTATGATGTTTAATGTAATAATATTAATACTAGTTTTTAATTCAAAGTCACATATTCATACATGTAAAATCGATCAAGGTATTTTTTCAGCCCTACGACGTTACGTTACAGAAAATGACGTTCTACTAACATTTTTCATTTAAAACACTATCATACTTCAGACTCTCTTTTTCAAAAAATATAATCGATATCGAAAAAAAAAAAAAAAAAAAAAAAAAAAAAAGGCAAAGAAAAGCTAAAAGTCTTCACTATCAATTGACAAAAACCTGTTAATTTTTGAGACAGGGCCATTTTTGATGGTTCGTGGCTTTTGCTCTTTAGCGTTCACCGTTGATGAAAGTATGAACTTGGGTCATAAAGTGTGTTACTTTTATATTTTACAAAGGAAGAGGGATGATAAAATTAAAGAAGAAAGAAACAAAGAAATGAACAATGCCACTTTCAATCTACAGAAAGGTTCGACTGAAAACATGTCAGTTCCGTGCTTCATGCAAGACGAGGGTGTTTATTGTGAAGTTGCAGAAAAACCGGTATTTTGACAACTCTCTCTCCTTGTGTTATTTTTGCTCACCAAACGTCCAAATGCTACGTAAACATTTCACATATTCAACTTCTACAGAATTACTGGGGGCAATTTTAGCCAAACTTGCCACAAACCATTCTTAGATTAAGGAAATTCAAGATTGTTAGCGTGAAGTAGGAACATCTTTTTTTTTTTTTTTAAATTATCAGGAAATTGTTAAAACGGGTGGGGTTATGTAAAATCCTTCTCAGAACTCTTGGTATTAAGCAGAAGATAATTCCCTATTGAATGCTTTTTCACATAGTGTGAATTAATTTTTGCTCAATTTATGGTGATTGGGCTTTGATGGAGACAAAATATGGTATAAAAGATCGAAATTGGAATACACACGTATTTTCAATAATTCTTCTAAAGAACAGCAGGGTCACAAGTAATCTCACTAATATTCAAGCATCTTCATGTAATTCACAGAAAAAAAAGTGTAAAATATTAGGCCTTGGGCTAAGTAAAGATACAATAAAAATACAAAGAGGTGTAAAAGATTAAAAGAGGAATAAGTAAAAATATATTTGAAAATCAGCTTATCAAGAATAGCAGGGACAATCAGTCAAATTATTATAAGCAAGTATTCTGATGTAGAGTACATTTGAGATTGTTAAAATAATGAACCGTAGGGCTAGGTTTGGGTAATAATTCATAAATCAAATCTAAGAAATAAGAAAGAGATTTTTAAGTCAAGACCAGTAAGGCAACAGTAAGTTTTATCAAAGTTTATTCAAAAACAATAATCCTTGGTAATTAAAATGAAGTCTTACTTGGGTTCAAATATTTATAATGGAATATTCAGGGAGAAAATGTAAAAAGAAATCACATCTCTTCACCTTGAGTTGTGAATATCTTATTGAACTGTAAATTAAATCGTATTATATTTTTACTCCCTGGACAAGAGAGGGCTATAAATTAGGGTCAAAGTTACATATAGTCATATGTAGGACACATTATACATGTGATTATTTTTTAATCACAGTAGGACCTCAATAGGCCTCACAAACCCCCAAGCATCTGCGTGCGATATAGATTCAGATTAGTAGAAACGTATCTACCGGGCTAGGACGGGGCAAGAAAAGGGTTGAAAAATTAACATAATAAACGATGAAACGCTTCTTTTAAAAATAATGGAGGGGTATAATTAAGGATGTAGTTAAGTACAACTATGTATGTCGTGTAGTACCATATTTGTTCGTCTTATCTCCTCCCAGGGGCTAGGGTTGGGCAAAGGTAGGGGAACATGGCTTATTTTGTACATAAATGTATCTACTTTTTTTAAAAGAAAAAGTTGATAGTCAATTACAAAGAAGGGAATTTTAATACATATGTGCATTAAGACCAAAAAGTTTCCATTTCCATATCAAAATTTACAAATCATTTCAATAGTTAACAGTTTGTGTTTGTTGATATCATCAGTGTGTGACCTCTTTATCACAACTAATGTTTTGCTAAAATACTTATAAACATATTTTTTTTTTATTTTAAGCAACCAAATCCCTCTCATTTTTTAAACCTTTCGTATTTGGATGCTGACAATGCTACATTAGAGGGCCGGAAAAACACCAGACTCCCAGACATTCCACAAAAAACGGATAAAGATGAATACTTGACCCCTATGAGTAGATCTCTTCCACACCTATATCTAGATTCGTCGGGAGAGGCCGTAAAGGAAACATATACCATGGATAAAAACGACCTCTTTACAGAGGATAGTAAAAACAAGAATTCCAATGTCTTGAATAAAGTGGAGAGTTTAAAAGATACACTTGATACAGAGACATCCGATGAATATTTTGTACTTGAGAAGGGATCTGACATGGATCTAAAGTAACATTAGCAATATAAACCTCAATTCAAGCATGAAGCACAGACAATGTCAATTGACACATTCATGAAAAGATACTGATAATGAGAATTCATAAACCTTCCTCTTCAAATCAATATTATTTTTGAAATATTTTAAAATCCTATGGTTAAAGGATTTTAAAACATATATAATGTTGTTGATTAATATACTAAAGTAGATCAGAAATATAGTTTTTTCATTAACATTTAAGGAGAACAATCTTAAACTTCCTTATTTTTCTCTCTCTTTTTCTATGTGTATGCTTGTATGAAATTATTGTTTATACATACAGATAGATAGAAGAATAGATAGATATAGATAGGTAGATAGATAGATAGATAGATAGTTGATTACAGTTCAAACAAATAAGAGAATAATTTGTTTTAATAATTTATACTTTATACTGTATGCCACCATATTTTTATGACAGCTTATTTCGAGAGATAGTTATCTCGTTTTTATAAGCGAGACAAAATGTGTACGAATTTTAGATATTTCAGAATATAATCCGTGATAATAAACAGTTTTTTGCGATCATCAGTCTCGGTAATAACGCGAAAAATAAAGTACTCGCAAATAAAAAGTGATATACGTTATTCCTATTGAAATTACCTTCATTTTGAAAATAAAACAATATACTTGTCAAATGCATAGAAATAACTATGGATTGTTTATCACTCATTTTACAGAAACTTAAAAGCACTCGAAGTATGACTTATTGCATTGCAAATACTGTGAATAGGCAGTATTTCATAGATTTAATGTTAATTTAACGTTTAATGTTGAATCAATTAAAAGCGTACTTCAATGACATGTACTATATATGCGAATGATATATCAACATAAGCACCAACTTATTCAATTGTTAAATGGTGTTGAAGGCAACAGTCTGCTAGGCCGGTGTGAACTGTTGCCCAAGGTGGTCGTGGGCAACAGATTGCACTCCGGTCTGACAGACCAACTATTGCCCGAGACCCCTGTAAACAACTGTTTTGTTATATATCTACGTCTAGTATTTAATTAAAGCTTTGAATTTGTATTGTATTGTTTATGTAATAAGTCATGATATTTTTAAAAAAATAAAATAGCAGAAAAAACCACGTTGACATGTGATTTTTCAAATTTAAAATAATTTCTTTAATGAAATGTGAGGTTAAGGAACATGCTCAAAGTCCAATCAAACAAAACAAAGCGAAAACGAAACTCTGAAACAGAGGTGGGATAAGTTGCTATTAAGTAGTAACCATCCCCTGTCGACCGATCCTAAGTCCTGCACATGTTTGAGCTTCAAGGAAATAACATTACAAGGATCAATACACAAACCAATAGTTTTCAATTCTCTATTATATTTCTATATAAGGTAAGAAAAGTCAAAGATATATTTTTTCGTAATTTATCATTACTCATATAGAGATTTAAACATTTTTTAAAAACCTTACAAATTAGTATCTTTACCCATTGTTTTTATATACTTGTAAGGTTACCTTTTGTCTTCATTAATTGATTTTGTTGCCCTTAATTCTTACCAAACACTTTTTGACTGAGACAAAGCAATAAAAATTATTATCTTTTAATCCTATGTATAATGATTGGTCTTACTGCACTTGTTTTCGATAAAACTATTTATTTTATCATTATTTTTATAAAGTTTATTTAATTTCCTTTTTTGATTTCTATGCAACATTGTACACACATAATTCTATATAAGCGTGTTAAAGATATGCCTTGTTCAATAACAAGAAGGAAACTGGGAAGTTTGAAAAAGACACAGCTTGTCTTATTTAGAATAGGATCATCATGATATATACAAGACATTTTTGTTTGGATTTATTACTTTGTAAGTTTTAAATATTAGCATTTATGAAAGTTTTAGTTTAACCGTTACGGTATGTTTTCTTTCATTTTCTTTTTCTTTTTTTTTTATTTTCATAGATGTGATCATTCTGATGGAAGCAGGAGATACTTCGAAAGATAAAAGGTATAATAGAACTTAAAGTGTCTAAGAAAATAGTTATCTAAATTTTACATTCCATTATATTTATTCATATGAATATATGATTGATATCATATTGCTTTAAGCCTAAATAATTTGTTCTTTATATTATTAAAGTTTTCCTAAAAAACTAAACAACACATTTAAGGAGGTGGCAGGAATATGGAAGAGATCATATGCTTCATTTTTTCCCTACAATTTAAGTTTGCATGGAGGTTGGTATCAGCTCATTGACAAGGTTCGAAGTTTCAGAAATTAAGTAAAAGTTTGACAAAATCACTTTACAGAAATCATTACTCTACCTCTAATGATATATCCATTTTATCTGGTTTCTTTTATCTTTTAAGTTATTTAAATTGTTAAAGCATATAATTATATGTATGTCATCAAGAAAAAAAAAAAGAAAAAAAAAAAAAAAAGAAAAAAAAAAGGAAAAAAAATGCTTAATATTTTCTATCTGATAATCTGCTGCAGAATATGGTAAAAATATGGTTTGCAACAAAACACCACAGTCCCAAGGAGTGGAATATCTATCTAACTTCAGTATTTCCTTATCTTGGAATACTACGGTCATTGTGGATGAAAAAGAATGCATTGTTAGCTTGAAGTCATATTGTGTTCTCGATAAGAAAAACAAATCTTATCTTAACTGTCACAACGGAACTATCTTAAGTAAGTTTACTCCATTGAGAAGAAAATCAGTCATATCTGCTATGATGCAAGCAAAACAAGTGTTCGATTCTCACGTACTCCTGTTTTTCATACCCCTGATAAAATGGAGTTGTCGAGAATGTTAGCTACTAATTAAACTGTATCAATATTCATGCTGAAAACACATGTATTGGATTATAAAGAAAAAAATGAACCTGAATATCCAAAAAAAAGTTTTTACTTTTGAATTTTTCTTACATTATATCCAATTACCATATGCATTCGTCAATTATACGGATAGGGAAAATATTAAAATGCAGTGAAAATGTCCTATGTCCCTTTCATATTATTTTGATACGTGGTCTCAGATAAGCAATGCAGAATTATATTCATATAAACTTGTAAATGTTTTCTTTTTGAGCAACACTATTTG